GGGGGGGGGTGGGGGGTGGGGTGTTTCTGATCAAAGTTTGACCCTCAATAGAGTCTAGGTCGGTTCTCCAATAGGTGCACCCAACAACTCCTCAAAAGGAGTTCAAATTCGTCGAATCTTCTAAAAATAGGGCTTCCACCGACACTGGCGCCAGAGACCCGTAATTAAATCCCAAGTTTCTGTCAAATAGCGTCGACGGCGCTGGACAAGTCGTCGGCGCTGAACAAATTTGGAACTTCTCTATTTTTACTCCAAATTTCATCATTTTTGCTTCTTTTTTGCTTCAAGTCCTCAAAATCAACAACATGCAATAAAACATAGAAAATACCTTCTATTAAAGTGCAATATCACAAAAAATGAGTATAAAATATAGGTCTAAAAATGCATATATTTTTGTGTATCATCTTACGATCTCAAGTCGTGATCCATCTGAGTACGAGCTGCGGAGGGAGGCTATCGGAGGCAAGAAGAATCTTCAGGTCTATGGATTGGGATCTCAGGTGCAGGACTACTACACTCATCCATCCTTTAGCGCATTTAGGGCATCCACTAATGCCCAGGAGGATGAGGATCGTAGGCAGGTTTTCTTATTCACCGCAGATATTGAGACTAGATTTACTGCCCCGCTCGCCTAAAATGAAATCAGAAGTAAATGCATTCTAACATCGATCCTATTAGATAGGAAAGCAGTTAGCAGTAGAGGATGTTGAGAATGATGTTGAGGTAACCGAGCATGACTAGAGCTTTCTTATTTTTTTATTATTTTTTTATTTGAAACATTTCAAGCGAACATCTTATATTTTTGTGCAAATATATTTTTTGCTTGGTTTGATGCTTTTTTTTTTTGTTTTTGTGTTTGATTTATGCATTTATTATTGTGAGTTTAGTCATAAATGCTTGGATTGGTGAATTGTATTGTTATATATATATATATATATCACTGGATGTGTATGTGTTATGATTACAAGTGTAGAAATTATAATAACGAAAATGGATATGTTTTATTTTTTTTTATTATTCTTTGGTTTTCTTACTTTCATATAGATATCTGATAGTTTTCAGTTAATTTGTCGTGACATCCGACGGTCACTAACCGTCGGTTTATATCTAGACGAAAAATCGATGGCATTTGGATGGGCTATCGATAAACGGATGGTCATTTCCGACAACCAATAAACCTAAGACAAACAAGAGAGAAATAAAAATTTCCTTTTATACTCCAAATTACCGACAAGTTTGACCATCAGAGGCTTTCAATGGCTTAGTGACGCATAACTAACGATAAACCCTCCAATAAAATCTGACGATTTCTTGTTACCGACGGCTTCCCAACGAATTGTAATTCAACGTACATCGTTGATGTACAAGCCATTGAAATATCATCGGTAAAATCTCTGTTTTTGAAATTGCAAACAAGCGATTTACCTACGACCCACAAAACGTCGATAAGTCATCAGAGATATACTAACTGACGGCTAAACAATATATACCAATGGTTTTGTTGAATTACTATACTGCAGGTGAAGATGAAAAAAAAAGTTGTATTATAATATTTTAATATAATTTATTTTAGAAGGAAAACTTAAAACATGCAAACTTAGATTATGAAAGCATAAAGTTGGATAACATTTTAATTTTTCTTGTTAACAAAAATAATTGTATTTCTAATCGGTTATCACATATTATAAATTTAACCTTTTGCATCAAATACAATCATCAATCAATCATTAATTTTATCATTCCATATCCTCTTACAAGATATTATTTCATTAATTTATTGTTTCTGCTTCAAAATTTGGATTAGCAATTGCAATAGAAGTCACCTCTGATGATCATGTGAAAAAGCAAATCTATAAAATTTTCATACAAATTTATAGCACAGCCACATGACCGCATGGATTTTTAATCATAAATAAAAGAAATAAAAAAATTAAATAAAACAATGAAAAATTTACATACATGTCACACAAATCCTATGTAACAAGATCCTGTCAATTCGCCATCATGGCCTTAAACTCTTCAAAACAAAGCACTCCATCACCATTAATATCGAACCTCTGAATCATAACCTCACATGTATTGAGATCTCTCGACGCGCCAAGCCTGCTCAGCATCCGCTTCAGGCTCTTAGGAGTGATGCATCCTTGGCCGTCCATCTCATACATCGCGAAGGCTTGTCTCAGCTCCTCCTCCTCATCTCCTCCCTCAGCTTCTACCAACTTGATGAACTCCTCCATTGCCAGTAGCCCATCACCATCCGAGTCCACAGACTGGACCAAAGCTTCAGCTTCCTCCCAAGTCATCTCATGGCCGATTACTCTCATGCAGGAACGAAGCTCTGCCGGAGATATCTCCCCGTCGCCGTCTTCGTCGAAGCAGCGGAACACCTTCTCCAATTCTCCAAGAACAACACTTCTCATTTTCTTCTAGTTTTTTTATATTTAGTAAATGATGTCGAAGAGGAGTTGTGAGGATTACTTAACGTCGTTTATGGCTTGGGTATATATAGATATGATATAGGATTCAAAAGTGGAATAGGTATGAAAGGCGTGTTTAAAAAGAGTAGAATGCATTATATGAAAAAAGGAACCATCATCATCTCTTTCATTTGCTTCTTTAGAAGGTTGGCCGTTATTTCAATGAATCAATCCGTGCGTTGACGTTTAGTGGAGTTGACACGGACAAGGAAACCCACATTAATTACTCGTAAATTCGTGCGGCTTTCTTACGTACTTGCTTACGAAAGTCAGATAATTCAACGTCAATGTATTGGTGCTCAGCCGTGTGGTTTTCAAGGAAGGACCCAAGCAAGTGCGGAGTGCCCCCCTGGGGGGCGAGGTCATGTTCGGCTCGTTTATATTTCGAGCTCAAAAGTGTGTTTGTGTTCGGTGCATTTACTTAGCGAGCCGAACATGAGTCGCTCACCAACAAAAAATCGTTTTGAAAACCCTAATCACGTAGCTATAAGAAATTAAGAATTTGAGCAAGATTTAAAACATCATTGGAATCTAATTTAATAATTTTTATTCTATTTTCTTCATTAATAATTTTAATTGATTATAAATCTTTGTAGCCTTGTAATCAATTATTTTTTTAAAAAAATACTACTCATCAAACACACACACACACACATATATATATATATATATATATATATA